GCACACTCAAAAACAGGTGCACTGTTTCTATGGCCGGTTCTGGACATGTGTGGACCATAACGATGCTCAGTGGCTCTCATTAAAGCAGCAGCCGGCCGTCCATCTACAGACACACAGCGCCACACATTCACACTCCAGGGGACGATAAGGGAAAGAGGGAGGGGGTTTGATCACCCTGAGTCAGAGAGAGAAGAGGTGGGTGTACAGCAGAGAGGAGGAAGGCTGATGGGCACTCAGGGAGAAAAGGAGGAAGAGAGGGGTGAGTCAGATACTCAGCAGACCATCAGCAGGGTGAACATGGTCTGTCCCACGTTGAAGCCGTGCCTCCAGTTGTGGTAGGTGATCTTCCTGTAGCCTTTGCTGACAGAGTAAACGAATCTCACTAGGACCTGGAGGAGAGGTTTCACAGGTTACTGCGGGTGTTCAGCCCAGTTATACTGTCTCTCATCTGTGAGGAGCAGAGCGCCCACAACGAGCCACAGCAGCTTTCCCCGAAATAGAACACGTCATTTCATTTTAGCTCATCCTGCTCAGAGTTAGTGTCATAACGCCTGAGAAACCAGCACTCAGGAAAGCAAAAAACTGCAGATAAATATGTGAAAACTTCCACCCTGATGTTACAGTTAAAACACAGTTTGAGGGAGTTAAGTGTACTGGCCTGGATCACTTTCCTGATAGATAATAAGGGGCAGCAGGGTGAGGGATGTCTCCCGCTCTAAAGGCTATTTCTGTGAGGTTCCACTAGAGACCACATGACCGGACGCACCTCTCTGGGAATGTGAAACTTGTCCACCACTTTCAGCTCGTAGTACATCTTGATGCCACACTTGACCAGCTCCAGCTCGGTGTGGTGGAAGTCGTAGAAGTGGAACTCAAAGATCTCAGCCTTCTTGGAGTTTGGAAGGGTCTCCGACTGATCAAAGGCAAACACATTTAATTCAGACAATAACCTTCAAGTGTCCCATAATAAAGAGGGAGCGAACACATCACGGTTTACATTTCTGTAACTCTCAGACCTCTCATTGGGAATATTTCCCTTAAAAGCAGGAAAGCTCTTCTTCCTTACCAGAATCTCTTGGAGCTCCTCCTCCTCGCACTCGTCCGGCTCCTTCCCCCACCGCTCCCTGGTGTTCTGGACAGAAAAACATCCTCAACACTCACCTCAGCGCCATCCATCTGCTGACTCCTGACCAGAGGTCAGAGCAGGAGATCTCCGTTTGTTCTCCGTCCACTGACAGATCACCCCTCAAAAACCTGACAGCTTATTTCAGCCGGGACCATACATCCTGCTCAGATCCTGTTTCTGTCACCGGCTCCAACCAGACGCTTCCAAACAAAAATATTACAGCGCTGGAGCATGTGATTCTGAAAGCCCCCTCAGAGACCGGTTTGACTTTTTTACTCTTAATTTCATTAAGAAATTAGTAGACCAGCAGAATGTTATAAGATAACATGCTACTATAGAAGTCAAAATAACAGTAGAGTTCCTCTTTAAGTTTAGTAGTGTTTCCTTTCATTCATCAGCATCCAGCACATTTATTTAAATACGGTGTGCCTCATCACACTGAATCACAGTCAAATACTACATCTTTAAGAAAAAAAACATCATCCCTATATTCACAGTTATGAGGACCCCCCCCCTCCCCCGTTTGCCACTAACCAGAACGTTCTGGATTTCGTCCTTGCGACACTTGACGTGGTACATCACCATGTCCTGGAAGATGTCCTTCCTGTTCTCCAGCTTGTTCATCTTGTCATAAGTGTCAGTGTTGAGCACAGACCAGCCCAGGAACTGGGTCAGAGACTGGACACACGAGAGAAACAATTCAGTTTGCCCCGTCTGCCTAACACATAGAGATGCATGAGCTAAATATAATAATGTATATATATATATATATATATATATATATATATACATACACACAGTATATATATAGTTTAGACAAACACAGGGTTTAAATCCTTTTTCTTTGCCCATTTATGCAAACCAGATGCTCATTTGATTGGTTAATATTCACCAATCAAATGTTGAAACCTAAAAGCTTTTTGAGTAAATTTAACCCAAAATGCTTTTCGCAAATAACGAAAAAAAGAGTAAAAACGATGAAATGGAAGATTTTTCAGCCAGATGTGACAGAAAGGCTTAAGACCAAAAGTTTCTCATGTCAGGCTGTACCTCCATCAGGGTTTCGTCCATCTCGTCGAAGGGCTTCCCGTCCTTCCTGTTGTAGAACGTGGCCACGCCCACTATCTCCTCTTTCTTGTTGACGATTGGCATGGAGAGGACGTTCTTTATGGTCCAGCCGGACTCGTCCAGAGGCTCTTTCTGCTCAGAAACACACAAACACAGCAGAGACGCCTCGATTACTCCCCTACCGCACAGGCATGATTTCTTCTCTGTTGAGGAATGTTTTTTCTTCGTTCATCATCACAACTGTGGCCGCTCATGGCTGCCCTGAATTAGCTCATTTTGATGCATGGAGAAATTCTACACTCACACTTCAACTAAAGATGAATTAGCAGGACCTCCTTCATGGCTTGAAGATGTTTTGAACACTCCAGATTCCTGTTATGGCATCAGCACATGTGAAATGATTTGTTCAAACATTGTTTCTTTAGTTCAGCTCACACTGAGTTCCTGACGCCTTTCCCTCGTGTAAAACCTGCTCACACATGTGTGCAGAGCGGAAACACTGTCAGATCCTGGATAGCATCAAGTGTTGGGTGTTAGCAGAGTCATGGATTTAAGACACAGCCTTCTTTTCGATGCGCAACGTCGAAAACTTTTGTTTTAGTTGACGTTAGCTTTTTTTTAATACCGACTCCTGACCGTCTTCACCACATACATCAGTCTGAGGGCATTTTCAGACTCATCACTGTCCTATCTGAGTCAACCCCCACCCCTGTTCATGATGAGGAATTCATAAAATCCTCTCATTTCTAAATTTGAAGAGCTAACGAGTCCAGAATTCACAAAGAAACACACAAAACAGTTTGTGGCTGATTCCTGTGGTGGTCTAGAAAAATAGAAATCTTACCTGAAAGTTGAAGAAGTCATCCTGAGCTGCATTCATGATGTTGCAAATCTGATGGGAAAGGACAAACAGGGAAATCAAAACCGTGACTATGATTTGATGCATATTTTAGAACGGGTCGGGCTGGATTTGTTTTGGTCGGTTGCCACTACGACCCACTGAGGAGGTTCAGAAGAGAACAGGGAAGGGCAGAATAAAGGACACCTCTTAGAGCCATCGCCCAATAAATCCTTCACCTTCAGCTCTGAGGCTGGAAGCACATGTTCAGATGGGATTTCAAGACTTTATTGCTCCACGGTGGATCCAGTCGTGGTATCAAAAACCATCAGTGTCAATTTGACAAATCTCTTCTCCCCTCAATTTATGAAAATGTGGCTCACTGGAAGAGTGAAGTTTCATCTTCCTCATAATGCTGCATAAGGAAATATGACAGTGGAAAAATGAGGAGGACTCGAACAATGACAAGCAGCAAAGACAACGAGCGGAAAAGATGGAGGGAGGGGTAGACGAGCGGAGGTTTGGGAAAATCTCCCTGTGATTAATTACAATGGCATCAGAAATTACAATTATATATCACAGCAACGTGGCTGCCCACTTTTCATTTCCAGAGCCCTGTGCACACTGACAGCTGTGTAATAAGCCTAATGTTGTTCTGTTAGCAGCTTCCAGGGAACAGACTTCCCAGAGTTTCATTTGGACCTGAGCACTGAAACCAAACTGACCCTTTTCTCAACCACCTGCCAACAAGGGCTGACCTCTGCATCCACAAGAAGCTTCAATCATGCCACAAGGGGCACAGCTTTGTTTTCATAAATAACTGAAAATAGTGCTAACAGTTTATTCTTACACAGTAGCACAGGACGTTTTTGAGTAAGTCAGAAGTCATTCAAAAAGTTCATTTGTTAGTTTTTTGGGCATTCCTGCAGAATAAGGATCCTCATTAGACCCTGAAGTTGTTAAATGACACTTAAACATGTTAAATATCACTCGAGCAAAACGGTTAGGATTAATCAACATGTCTAATTAGACACTTTTATTTTCCAAATATCTGGAGAGTGATAAAACATTGTTATTTAGTTTTGCACAGTTGTGGACCACTGTGATCCATAATGATAGTGTCATTTAGTCCTGTGGATACTCTGGTTTTTAACGAGTGTCTCAATAAATAAAGTCTAACAAAATCACTAAAGTCATTTCTGACTCGGGGATAGACTGAATACCAAAAAAATCCTGTCAAGCATCTTAACTAAAGTATTGTTTTACCCTTCAGGTTATTCTGGGGATCTCAAACATGGGGTCAGAGGTCACCAGAGGACCGTCATTATAAATTCCACATTATATGATTAGTAATGTGTTATTAAACAATGTTAACGTGATGAAATCAGCCATTTGGGGCCTTTTAGACGAGCACAGCAATTAAGAGCTTTCCCTGTAAAAGGGAGGCGTGCGTTTCCTGAGGAGCTCCAAACCTGCAGGAGCCTTCATTTGTTTCTGAGTTCAGGTTAATTACTCCCAGCTCAGTCTTTCATTATTCTGCAATTGATTCATTCATCTGCGTTTGTTTTTTAAGCTTCTCAGGGAGAGAACCTCATCATGAGTGGAAAGCCTGTTTTTTCTGTCCGATCGCAGAGATCTGGACGCCGGTTCCTTCTAGAGTCCAGCATCCGTCCACAAAATGAGGGAAGAGGCTCAGGAAACTGTTCTGAAGGCCACTAGTGGCTTAACAACGAAACTGTTTTATAGAGCCGGACCAAGAATCCCAGTTTAGGAAAACTAACTTTTGAGTTTTACCATTTAAAACTAATCAGTGGAATTTTTCTGATTCACTTCACATGTTTTTAATGGGACTCAAGGCAGAGACGTAAAACATTTCACATACGATTTTGAAAGTTCCGCTTTTAGGAGAGAAAACATGTAGGACATTCCTCACATGATACATCCATGAGGAAAGTAGATAGTATAAATGAGCACTGACCAGAGCGGTTTCTGCGACGTAGGTGGGCAAACCGCTGACCAGCGCCCAGTGGTCGGCGGGGGGGCTCCTGGGGAAAGGACAGAACAGGCACCGTCTCTTTCAGAAAAACTCATCGCAAAAAAACCTCTTGGAAATCAAATCCTTCCAGCTCAGAAGGAAGAGCCTGATTATAATTAACTATTTTCATTTTTGATTGTTGTTTTGTTTGTTTTTTTACAGCATTAGATCTACATCAAGCTCGTAAACAACCCCAACTACACACTGTTAATATGGGCAAGAAAAAAATGTATTTTAGTCTAAAAAAAGAGCCATTTAGTCCCAGTTGTGAAGGAAATGCAGAAACATTTGAGGGTGTTCCTTTCAGAGGCCTCCAGTGGAACGTGAGCTCTGTGGAACCCGGTTTTCAGTCTTAAATTACTTACGGTATAACTTTGATTTCCTCTTTGCCGTGAAGAATGTAGTCAATCACTTTGTAGAAGATGACTTCCTGGAGAAGATGGAAAAAACAATCAGACGTGTTGCTGAAGAGTTTTCGATGCTCCTAACTCTGGACACTTTGCTTTTGTGAATGAATTGGTGCATTAAGACTAAACAACACAGGGAAGCAAGAAGGTGATTAATCATTTTTGCTTCTGGGTTTAGTGACAGATGTATTGATTATCCGTCTAAAGTGCTACTAATGTGGTATGGCTTGTTAAGACTCATTAAGATTAGAAATGTCTTGAGGGTTGTGTTCAACAAGAATATTTGAGAGAAATGGGAGAATAAATGAGGCTAGATGGTGTAAATCTGTCTCCTGGCTTTTGATCGTTTGATGGGTAAAACATGTGAACATGCAGGTGAAGAAGGGGCAGAAACTAAAGGAGAAATGTGGATCTTTGCTCACCCTGCCGTCAGGGGTCTTGGGTCCATCGTATGGGGGAACCTCTCCCATCAGAACAGGCCACAGGTCAAAGAACTCCTGCAGACATGCAAACGCATTGGGAAAGAAGAGGGTTAGGGCATCTGTTCAGGTGTATTTTCTCATAGTTTGGATGCATGTGCAGGTCAAAGGTCACATCCCAATGGACCGATGTGCATGAGAGCGGTGACCTTTTGGGAGCGGGCAGTAGATTTTATTCTGTCTTCGGTAGACACATAGTTCACAGAACAAATGTTTAAAGTGGAGTTTGGTTTATTCTCCTGAGCTCATGATATCTGATACTGTTTGTTCTGGGTGGCAGGTGTTGGGATTAGCGGCAGCTGCTAGTAGCTAAATGACACAAAAAAAAAAATATATATATATATATATATAAAAATAAATGACAGTCGCAGCCAAAAAGCTGCCGGCACGATGCCCCAGACGCACGGGGCCAATGGCCAGTCCCCAATAATCAAACAGCATCAGAAATCACTGAGATCAGACTAAAGAAACCAACGCTCGTCTTACAGCTCCTCCTCAGAAATCATGAAAAAAAGATTGTGAAGCAGATGCTTTCTATTTAGAATTTGCACAACTCTGCTACTTGGTACTTTTTGAGGCGCTTCCTCTTCCTTAATGGCTCAAACTGAATGTACATTTCTTCATTTTCTTTGCTCAACTTAAACCTGACGGGACATGCAAAGAAAAACCACTTGTCTTTTTCAGAACTATGTAATTGCAGAGAAAATGAAGCACAGATACAAAACTCTTCTTGGTACTCGGCTGTAACAGCTTTAGGGGCACGTCATTTTAAATTTTAAATCTAGAAATCTACTGTAATCCATCCACTCCATACCCGCTTACTGTCATGGTCATGGTCCTTGGATTTGTGCTCTGGTGACTTCCTGTTTTATTTTGTTCAGCTTCCCTTAAGTCACATCTGGCTTCTGTTAGCCATCACCTGACTCCAATCATCCCTCAGCATCTCCCCGGTTTTAAGTTGATCCTTTGCTGGATCATTTCGTGTTGCAGACTTTCTCGTTACATGTGCTTCCCCCCCTTTTTTTATTTTGGCCGATATGCCTCACTCACATAATTTAATGTGGGTAATAGACATGTATCCACTTCCACATCCAGAGATGTCTGCAAACCTCTCCTTTAAATGCCCTAATCTCCGTCTACTGTGGAGGCTTTTCCCTCACATGGATCTGAGCAGGCAAATCTTTCTACCACAGTTAGAGTTTGCATCCCTTTTTACTGTAAACCTCAAACCAATCGTGCTTTTATGAGGCTCTGCATTAAAGCCCGATTTGCTCTGCCACTCCGTTATTTACCAGGAGATTAAAACACCAGCAGCTGATATAGAAATGTCTCTAATATATGCTAATCATTGGGAACTATAAAGCCAGATGGGCTGGTAATGGCACTGTTTAAGGGCCAGTGAACCGTATGCACAGCTGGTGATGTTAAAATGATAAATAACAGGAAAACATTCAAACTACAACTCACAGATGTAATTGTTCTGTCTGGGATTAGTCAGACTGGAAATGACACTGTCTCTGTGTTCAGACTTTTGTCCAACCTGCCGGACTCCTCCTGACGTTCTGGAACATTTAGAAACTGTTTTTCCAGTTTCATTAGTCTCGGCCTGGCGGCCTTTCTCTAAACTGAGAACCTCAGAAATGGAGGGAAAGTGTCTGCAGGTAAAGGCTGTCTGGTGGAGTCTGGCCTGAGCCTTAACTGGGGCCCACCTTGGTCTTGGTCATGTCCAGCAGCCCCACCGAGTAGCGGTCGCAGTTCAGGAAGGCTCTGACCGTGTACAGCGCCTTGTGGAACTGCCTCTCGATGTCCGTCAGCTCCTCGAACACTTTGCTGGCGGACCACAGCAGCACCTGGAAACAGAACAAGGGAGGGGAAAAGATCATTTCAGTCTTCATGAGGCCATGAGGGGCAAAGGCCCCAAACTAAACTAAAGTTTTGTCCTCGGCTTGTTCCCCTATTCTTTACACAGCATATCTAAGAAATAAGTCAGATGCTTCTTTAGATAAACAGACTCTCCCAGTTCACGTGTTTGAGCAGAACTTCATAAGGATCCTTTTCTCCCTTTTCTGACCCAGCTCTCCAAACCTACCTGACCCTTCCTGGTCTCACAGTTGTGCAGGTAGCTCAGGTGGAACACTCTCAGCAACAAGTTGGCAAAGTTCAGGTATTTGTTGAGAGTCTGGAGGGAAAAGAAAAACTCATGCTTCTACTTTCTGCAAGTGGGTTCACTCATTTGCATTAATTACAAGAAGAACATGAGAAAAAAGAGCTGGAATGAGCAGCGTTCTGGTGGATTTCAGAGGGGAAATGTCACAAGTCTCAGTTTGCTGTGTTGTTGCTTATTTCATGCCTTGGTCAGAGAAAGAAAAATGGCAGATGGTTTCACTGCAGTGCGTTTGTTTCTGGGTTTCATCAGTATTCATCATTTGAAGTAGATTTTTTAAAAGAAAATCGATTATTTGTTTTCCAAGATAGTGTTTTAGCATTAGTTATAAACGTGTAGATTCATTCTTTTAGACATATGGATTTTTATTTAAAGTCCCATTATATATTTAATTTATAATATTATAACATTATATTATATATTATAAATCATATCAATATATTATATATATTAATACATTATAAATTATAATGTATATATATTATGTATATAAAAGTCACATCCATATATTGTTTTTGCTGATGTTATAAAAATGTGATTTTATAAACATCAAATCATTTTATTTGAGTCCACAATATCCTCCCAGCATAAAATCTCATCATTTATATTTTCATGAATACCTACAGAAAGACATGAGGAGTTCCATATTTCCCAATTAACCATTTGACCACCTGCTATACGGCACTTGTGAATGGCAACGCTAAATCTAAGAGTGGGGAAAAACCTTGCATTAAATATCTGGTCACTTATCTACGAGATTCTACACAGCTCTGAGCACTTTTGTCTTTGTATCCCACTTCTATATGTGCTCACTCCAGCTCAGGATCAAGAGCTGCCCCATAATGTCACATTCCAGTGTGGAAAACTGTAGCTCTGGGAACAATATTACACGTTAAAGCTGAAAAGATCCTCAAAACTTCCTTTTTTTCTTCTTTCTGTTCCTTTTTAATTTGTTACCACCATTTGGAAAACCCCAGACTCTACCCAGACAGTTTAGAAATGGGACATGACATCTGTTCCTCTGTTGGAAGTGAAAATATCCGTTATGCTCTGATAGACTGAAAAACTGAACCACAGAAGCTGCACAGCCCAGTATTCAGTCAGGGAAAGGCGTGTGCTGGTTAAATAAAGTACGATAGCTAAAGCTAAAGCATGTTTCTTGCTATGGAGGAAACATGAGGCTCATAGGGACAGTGGCCAGACCTCCTCGTCTTTAGCGGTGAAGCTGGGCCCGTCCAGCTTGTTGAGCGCCATCAGCACGGCCACCATGTCTTTGCCGTTCATGATGGGGATGGCCAGCACGCTCTTGGTCTGGTACTCAGTCAGCTCATCAACAAAGTTGCTGAAATGAGGGTCCTGGAGCAGAAACAAGAAAAGAGATTCATTTTGCGACTGATCGTGATGACTGTTTTATTCCCATGTCTTTTTCACTCTTCAAAAGACTCCAGATCTGCTTTGATGAAGAGGCGGCGTTTATTAATGATAGAAGATAAGAGCAGGCTCCTGATTCTCCTCAGATTCCCTCTGCTGTTCTCCACCTGCTGCTGGCCTCTCTCTGGTGGGTCATAGCTGTGTTTCCCCTGGGGGGGGGGGTCATTAACTGGGAATAGGGCAGCTCAACTTTTATCCTTTATTTTCATTAGTATTTGTTGGGTTTAAACAAAAGTCCCTCTAACTTTAGCTTATTTTGAGGCCACTGTGGAGAACACACATTCCCGCTCACCACAGACACCAAAAATCTGCAGCATGGCACTTTCCCACACGTTTGTGCTGCAGGTTTTGGTTAGACGTTTAGTCAAAGCCTCCTGAGATAGTTCCTCCTGTTTGTGGCTTTGCACTCGCAGTCACTCCTCCATGTCCACTGATCATAACACACTTGGAACGAATAAGAAGAATCGTCTTTGCAGACAGAAAACACAACTCTTGAGGTGAACTTAAGCTGTTTTTGTAAGATTTTGTAAGCTGTAATAAACTGAATGGTGACGCTGTGTGACTTCAGAAAGTTCCGACAGTTTAACCTGTTTAGCCCAACATAAAAGATTCCTCCATCTCACACGACAAAACAAAGATTTGATCACTTCAGATGAAGTTCTACCTCATCTTAAAGCTTTGAACACGTGAAACACACACAGACCTGATTTATATTTAGGTGTTAACATTCATATTAGTACCTTTGTCCATCATTTAAGGCTTCCTGTTAGGATTTTCCTTCAGGCATAAATAGAAACGTTACAGGATGTGCCTGGATTTATATTCAGCACACTTATTCTTCTTCGGCCGATTTAGATTTTCAGGTTGTGACACATTGTGACATGTTCTTCCCCCCACATTAGCAGAAAAGGAATTGTGGCGGAATAGATTAAAGGTGTGTTAAAGTGCTGAGTCTGTGAAAATGGCTCTGGGCCTATGTGACCTCTGGAAGTAATCCGGGATCGCTCTAATTCAGGACAGATTAACTCCCTGTGCAGCCTTTCCATCTTCCACAAGCACACAACACAACTCAAATAACTTCTTCTTAATTCAAAGATATATGTTTTACCTCCATAAAGGATGGGACTGCACAACATATTTTTGAGAGAGAAAAAATAGAAATTGAGAGGAAACCGAAGCCAGCTCTTAGTCACAATCTAATCCCCGCCCACAGGACAGGAATCCTGACAGGTTAGCCCGCCCGCTATATTGGATTTGGATGGAAATAGTATGCAGAGAGACAGTGATTTCCAGTCTGTGCATTATTAAAAGGCCATTCTGTGTGCATTAGCATCATAAAGCCAACCAATTATAGGGAAACATTAGCTCTTTCTTTGCTGCTGGTTTGGAGCCTTTCTTCCGGCTGCCGCCACATTTCTCAGCCCGTTTTCATGAGTTTTGTGTGAAGCTCGACACAGAGAGGTTTAGCAGCACAATGTTTGAGAGGGCAGGCCTGGCTGCAGAGTTAGGAGATAAAAAACAAACGGGAACAATCAACCCGGGCCTGTTTTGTTCGTACATCAACAGCTGAGCTCTCTAATCTCCCATGAAAGGATGTGATTAAACTGATACTGAGGAGTGCTTGTAATCCATCAGTTATGTGAAGTGTGCGCTGCCTTATCCAGTGTAAATGTCACAAAGACACTTTGGGCAGGTACGGGCCGGGAGGTGTTGCATCATAATGGCGACACCAGAAAAAGCTTGCCAGCTATTTTCAAATGTCAAAGGTATTGGCTATAATAAGATTGAGCTGGCTTTGGGTGTGTGGAATTAGATGAAGGAACACGTGGTGCCATGTTGCCCTCTAGTGGTCAAAGAGAAACAACCCAGCAACAGAAAAGTCCTAAAACTGAACAAAAGCAGGGATGCAGATTGGTTTTGTTGTTGGATTTTGTATGAGGGTAAAAACACAGTTTCTAATACAACATTGCAACATTAATTGTGGTATTAATTATGTCATCTATGTGAGTACTAATGATTAAGGGGTCAAGAGGGGAAATCTTTTTATGCTTTTCTGTGATGGTGGGATGATATATGATGGTAAAAGATAAGATTAAGGGGGCACAAACAGTTATCTAATGTTGGAAAGCTAAAGCTGGGGTAAGATGGCTGTACCTGGGACACATCAGCCACGTTGACCATCTTCTTACTGGTGGCCACATGGCCCACGATGCCCATGTCCAGCGGGTACACGATTTCACTCTCCGGGGGAACCAGACACTCATCGTACACGGCATCTTTATGGACATTGAATAACCTGGGATTAAAGACACAACACAAAACAATTAACTTAACTACAGTGCAAAGTGATGGAGCATATTTTCTTGATTGTTTTTACCGTAGAAAATATTGGAAATTTACATCTGTTGTCATTTAGATCAAACGGGCTGAAGCAAACGTCTCTGAATATGTTGGAGCAACTATTCTCTAAGAATGCACTACGCTGCTTCAACGGTCTCTTTGGGCACCAGAACAAGGCTGAATTTAAAAGTAAACAGATACTGAACTGAATATTAAAGAAAGCGCTGCTCAAAAAGTGGATGGAGTTCATATATTTCCGGCCCGAGAAGTGTACCATGTTTTTCTGAATAGCATAAATGTATTCTGACTAGACAACAGCGAGGGGGCGTAAATGCAATCAGAAGTCGTTTATTCTTTCACCCGCGCTGCTGCTTTTAAAGGTGTGATGTTCTGTTTGTTAAATGGACCGCGAGACTCTTTAGAGCTTTTGTTTCATTATCTGTGCTGTTTTTCCACCAGAGACTCCCCTTTCATCAAAATATGAGTAGTTCTCGCTAAAACTTTGCGTTTCTCGTTTGCGTGCGGCCAGCTGCAGGAACTCAGAAGTAGCTTGATATCAGATTAAATCCACCGTCTTGTTTAAGGAAAGCTTTGAAAGGCCCTCACCTGGTGGCCAGCTCGGCCACGCCGTTCCTCTGCCGGTACATGAACAGGCTCATGCGGTCGGCCCTCATCATGAAACTCAGGTGTCTCATCAGCTTGAAGACGGACTTCTCCATCTGCAGGTTGTCCTGGATGTCCCTCATCAGGTCGAACAGGATCTCGCTCTCGTCCACCATGGTCAGCTCGTGGAACTTGCTGATGTCCAGCACCGGCTTGCGGTTGGAGTCCAGCAGGTCTGAGACCACTTTGGGCCTCACGTTGGTGTCGTAGTACTGCTTGGCGAACTGAGGATTGGCATCCAGGAACTGCTCTGCTGCGGCTGCGTCCACCATGGTGGCTGCTGAGGAGGAGGCCTTTTTAATGGAGATACGTTTGAATGAGAGGTCTAAGCCGCTGGTTCAACCCTAACCCTAACCCTAACCCTAACCCTAACCCAGGCGCTGTGCTTCAGCGAGGAGGGCCGCGAGCTTTTATTCTTTAGTTTGTAGCTTTAAGATCCATCCATCTGTCTCATTCAAAACAGCAGACTGAGACAGACGGTAAAAAAATTTAGATGTGACATCTGAGACTGAACCATGCAGCTGTTGAAACGACAGAACAGTTCGTTTTATGAAGGATTTTAGCTATAAACAATCAGATTTGATCATATTTTTTATTAAATCAACTCGTGATTTCAAACCAACAATCATTACTGAGCCAAGAATGTTAACCTAATCATTTGGATCTATTTATTAAGTTACTTTCTGCCAGCTTTTTCACTTTTGTACTCATTCCTGTCCAACACATGAAAAACTACTAAACCATCTCTCTTCATTATTTAAACATATCTCACTCTTTCTCATTCGTAGCATATGATATGAATAAAATGCACAGCTCTACCTGTTATAGTCCTTGTGTTGTCCCCAGCAAAGTGTGTAATCCCTCTGTCCTACGAACCAACCCACCTGCAGATGTCTGAGAGGAGTAACAGGATTATCGGGGTGGTTTTAAATAGTCATGTGTGGACATAAGCCTGCATCCAATTACACCTCTGGGATTACAATACCGTCTAATGTTTAGTGACTCTATGAGGGATTCCTGCGTATAACCCAAACCCTTTGGGTGCACAGTTCATGCCAGAAACTTTTCACCAGATCAGAATCTGGAATCACCAAACACCTCCATCCATCCCTCCCCGAACAAACAACCACTCCCCCTTACTCCCAAAAACAAAGTCTAAGCAACCTAACGTGAACGTATTTGGATGATAGGAGGAGGCCAGAGGACCTGAAAAGAACCTGCCAACTCCACACTGAAAGGCCGCTGGGATTTAAACGAATGAATAAAATCATTTTAAAACATCTCACTTTGAACAAGACGAATTAGATTCAAACACCAAACGATAAGCTGAGAGCTTCAAAAAAGGAAATGTTTAAAATGACAAGAACAAATTCAATTTTAATAACATCTTGTCACAGCTTTCTTCCATTTTTCATTTAATACCACTGAATTTTATATTTCTGCTAAATGTGAGTATAACATTCTGTTTCTTTGGTCCACATACACCAAGTAAGCAGTATTCTTAGAGAAAAAAAGAGACTAAGTATGACCAAACATAGGTTTAGACACTGTTTCTTTTTCTGCACCTTAGATTTGATCTACTGCTCTCCTGAATGATGAACGAGTCCTTAGTGTTGGAGACAAGGCCCCTTCGTTCCCCCTCAACTCTGTTAACATTAAAATATTGACAGTAAAGTGCACAATTAAGTCTTCAAAGAAGAAATGCTTCTGAAGTCTAAAATGGCAGCACATAGATTCATTTGCAGGGTAAAAAATAAGAGTATTTTAGGCCAACGGAAGCAGCTAGCCATGACTTTATAGCAGTGTGTTTCAATAACCAGGCAATTACATGACCCATACTGGCTTTTTTTATTAACTCCAAATGATTAATTAATTCTTAATTGCTTATTCATTTAAATATGTTCTAACAATAAAGTTAAACAATAGAAAATTAGAAAGAAACATGGTGTCTGCTATTCTAATCCATGTTGTAAATGACATTTTGGTCTGAGCTAATTTAAGTCTTCTCCTTTTTTCAAATAATCTTCAAGAAGTTTTGTCCAGGCTAGAGGGATTTTATTAGTCTTCTTTTCTTTTGCACTGGCCCTAGTTTACGATTTTAAGGACACTGAAAGGTGAGCTGAGATAGGTCAGGTTTTCCTTTGGAAGCTCACCTTTTTGCTGTTCTTATTTTCTGCCTCTCCTCTCCTCTGTGTTTTTCAAAGATGCAACAACAGGTCTGGAAGCTGCTTTATGTAGCTTAAATGCCAAATGTGTCAGTGCAAAGTGACACCGAACCCTGAAAATAACGAGGTGCACAGACTGAGATAAAATCCAACCAAAATCAAGACGACATTTTGGACCTAAACCAAAAGCGTGCAGCGCCACCGTGTGGCTGCTGGAAGGACAACTAGTAATCAATGTGGATGGCTCAGGAATATTAGATAGTAATGTCAAAGAAAGTAAAGAAGCAATGGTTCTGTGTTTCTGATGAATACGTTTTTGAACAATTTAAAATGCAAAACAATTCCTAATTAGTTTGGTTAAAATCTGCAACCTCTTTTTGGTTTCGTTTGTCATTAACTTTATATAGGTCTTTGAATTTGAATTACAGTTATGTAACAACAAAAGTAAAAACAATAGATGTACTATAAATAGATGTGAGAGAAGAACGGAAGACACGACACACAAATGCATGTTACAGTTTTTATAGCCTTTTTATAGCCTTTAGTTACAGGTTGAGACTGCATGTATGCACACGTTTCGGTCCTTTACAGAGGACAAAAAGTATTAATGATTCATTAATTATTAATTATTAACTGTGAATATAAAACTCAGGTTGATAAGTGCTTCAGGCTAATCTCGTATCCATCATTCCACACAGATGCGCTCGGCCAATCGTGTGGCGCGTCGCGCGTGACGTCATGACGCAAGGAGCTGCCAAAACAGAGCAAATAAAGTTGAGGCGGACTCAGAGTCGAGTGTCGGAGGACAACTTCAGAAGATTTCTGGAGCCCGGCTGACAGGTGTCCATGTGAGTAGTTTACCTCGCTATCAGCCCGAGTTTCTCCCCTTTTATCCCGTTTCTCCAGTTTCTCCCGTTTCTCCCAGTTTCTCCCCTTTTATCCCGTTTCTCCCCGTTTGTCCCCGTTTGTCCCGTTTGTCCCAGTTTGTCCCGTTTCTCTCCTTTTATCCCGCTTGTCCTGTTTCTCCCGTTTGTCCCAGTTTGTCCCGTTTCTCCCCTTTTATCCCTTTATTCCCTGTTTGTCCCCTTTTATCCCGCTTGTCCCGTTTCTCCCCGTTTCTCCCGTTTTTCCCCGTTTGTCCCAGTTTGTCCCGTTTCTCCCCTTTTATCCCGTTATTCCCTGTTTGTCCCCTTTTATCCCGCTTGTCCCGTTTCTCTTCACGGCTCTACGGACGTGTCCGGCCACGTTGGCGCTTGTTTACAAAGCTCCCATTCATGCCTCCGCCTGCTGACCGGAGGAGGAACGGATAAAGGAGCCAACGCACTCATTTCTCCCCCTGTGTCTTTAAAGAGAATCGTTGCTAAATCTAAATGAGACATAGATCAGAACCTGACGGTTTTCCAGCGTCCAGACGGTTCCTCCCGGCTTTAAATAGGCCGCAGCAGGTAATCAGATTATCAGCTCCAGGGGGAACATTTACCTTTTCCTGACTACTGCAATGAAGTTGACTACAAACATCTTCTTGTTCCTACAAACATCTTCTTGTTCCACCAAAAGAAGTGCCTTTGGCTGGCTAAAATGAACTAATTCACAGTTAATTCTTTAAATCCTACAACATCTGATCACTGTGTCTAAAGTTTTATAACTTTATTTCTATTTAATACAATCTCCAAAACTGATATGGACTGTACAGTATACGAGCTTTGGACTGTCAGGTCCCAAATATCAGTACTCTGTCCTTGGTTTGGTAGATATCATTACTGATGATTAACAGTGCTCGTATTTACGTGTGCGGGTGGCTTAAGTAGTGCCATTAACTATTCCCACAGGGGCAGAGCATCTTATCTGGGCTGTAGTTCCTATCGCTGCCTGTTCTATCCTGTTGGACCTGAACTGCACAAGTATTGCAGCACACCTCAGGGGCTGCTGTTTGAGCTGCTGTTGGCCTTCACTGTCTCTGCCCTAACCCTAACCCATAACCCTAACCCTAACCCATAACCCTAACCCTTCACTGTTGCCCTCTGCCCTAACCCTAACCCTAACCCTAACCCTGACCCTAACCCTCTGCCCTCTGCCCTAACCCTAACCCTAACCCTAACCCTTCACTGTTGCCCTCTGACCTAACCCTAACCCTCTGCCCTAACCCTAACCCTCTGCTGTTGCCCTCTGCCCTAACCCTAACCCTCTGCCCTAACCCTCTGCTGTTGCCCTCTGCCCTAACCCTAACCCTTCACTGTTGCCCTCTGACCTAACCCTAACCCTAACCCTCTGCCCTAACCCTAACCCTCTGCTGTTGCCCTCTGCCCTAACCCTAACCCTAACCCTAACCCTCTGCTGTTGCCCTCAGCCCTCTGCCCTAACCCTAACCCTAACCCTGACCCTAACCCTAACCCTCTGCTGTTGCCCTCGGCCCTCTGCCCTAACCCTAACCCTAACCCTAACCCTTCACTGTTGCCCTCTGACCTAACCCTGACCCTAACCCTAACCCTCAGCCCTCTGCCCTAACCCTCTGCCCTCTGGGCTAACCCTAACCCTCTGGGCTAACCCTGACCCTAACCCTCTGCCCTCGGCCTCTGCCCTAACCCTAACCCTGACCCTAACCCTAACCCTAACCCTGCCTGTATCTCTGCAGCGTGAGGCCCAGCCATGCGTCCGGGGGAAGGCTGCCCAGCGGAGGACCTGCAGCAGCCGCTGGTTCTGGAGCGGCTGGAGAAAGAAAGGGATGAAAAATGGCAAACGCTTGTGTCCCGCCGGCTAAAGAAGCACTGCTCCTGCACCCCCAAGAAGCTGAAATCCCAGATCCTGGGCTTTGTCCCCATCCTGAGGTGGCTGCCGCGGTACCAGGTGCGGGACTGGCTGCTGGGGGACGTGATGTCGGGACTCATCGTGGGAATCCTGCTGGTGCCCCAGTCCATCGCCTACTCCCTCCTGGCCAGCCAGGACCCCATCTACGGGCTCTACACCTCCTTCTTCGCCTCCATCATCTACGCCCTGCTGGGCTCCTCCAGGCACATCTCCGTGGGCATCTTCGGGGTGCTGTGCCTGCTGGTGGGCCAGGTGGTGGACCGGGAGCTGGCCCTGGCCGGGTACCCCCCGGAGGACAGTAGTGGGAACAGCAGCGTGCTGCTGGGGAATGGCAGCCTGGGGGGGGGCAGCCT